TTCGCTCTATAACGGAGCTTGCGAGTGAGTGCCGATTTATGGCTCAGGGCGAGGCTGTTAGATTGATTGCCCTCTATATACAGCACTCAGGGGAAGCCCTGAAATGGACACCCAGGTAACAGGAAACGAGAGCGACCCCTCCCCCCGATCTGCCCTCGGGTCCTGTTCAAGCCACGTTTGACCCCGGAATGGAGCTCTCGACCCTGCCCGGGGGGGGGGGACGAAGGAGAACAGGAAGTGATGTAATGACCTCTATTCACTAGTCGATTCTTTCCCTCCACGTTTTTTAAAGCAAATGACACACTCTACAAACTACTTCACTCTCCAGGTGAATCCAGGGGACCTTCTGGAAGCTGGTGGGTCCAACCCATGCCCAGTCCTCTGCGCTGATGTTCACCATAAAACATTAGGGGGTGCTTCTCTCACGAAGCCATGGGTGAAAGTTTGAAAGCTCATGCTCTAAGGACAATCACTGGTGTTCAACCTGGGCCGATAGTCTCTGTCATTCTGCCAGACCCGCTTCGCCAGACCCGAAAAAGGCTGGAGACCAGCATCCCACGACATGGTGCAGAATGCTAAATGCAGTCAGCAATTTAAAGTTTTAATTTGGCCCTGTCCTGGGACTGACCCATCCAGGACTCTTCCCAGTGAACACTGGCAGCTCCTGCCTCCACTGCCTCCAGTCTCGCCTCACTTGCCAGTGATCTGCCCCCCGGAATTGCAGTGAAAGTTGTGCACCGGCACTGATAAAACCGGGCCTGCAAATCGCAGCTTTAGCTCACAGGCAGCATGTTGACCCAAAACGGTCCATCTGGACTTTTCCAAAGCCTTTATGAAGCTGCTTCTCCAGACTCCCTCAAAGAGAAGCTTTCTGAGACGGGGCCCGTCCATGAGCGTGCAGCTGTGCTGCCAAATGGACAATTTCTAACGAGTTAAAAAAAAAAAACCTCCATAACACGATGATTATGAAGTTTAAAAGATGTGTTTTGAAGTTGCCTGCATTTTGACTGCGCTAATTCTCCCAATCTCATCATTTATAAGCTATTTTTATGTTTCTGGGCAGCAGGTAATGGTGCTGCTCTCAATATGGCTGTTGTATCGTTACTTAATTAAGTCTAAAATCACGCTGAGACTAATGAGGCAGGTTTATAACTGTTGTCTAACTGCATCGTTCATGTGAGAGAAAAACAGACAAAAAGAGAGACATATATGGTGCTTATGAAAGTCATATATTAATATTAATATTGTATGTTAAAATATTAAATACAAACTATAATGAATATATTTATTACTAATTTCCATGTCCATAAATGAAAAGGGAATCTATTTAATAGCTCACCCAAGGCTACCAAGAAATGACATTTTACGAAACTTTCAATCTGAAGAAGAACATTCCGTTACATTCTGAATATTTTCCTGGGTATTTCCGTGAATTATTTTCAAGATGTTGAACTCGACCTCTTCTAGCTGGCGGGGGCGGGGGGCGGGGGGGTCAAAGGATCATTTTTGCTTACCACAAGAATATTAAAAGATAATTAGATGGAGACTAAATTATAGGCAAGAAGCCCGAAAAACTCTCCGGACCCCACAGAAGCTGCTCCAGTATAGTTTTGGGATTTTTCCTGGTCCAAACCAGGAAGAAAGTCTGTACAGCTGTTATGCTAGTAAATATGCCCCCCCCCCATATTGGTGTGCCTCTCTAATGAGGAGCAGTGTTGTTTTAAACATGAAATCGCAGTTCCCTGATGGGAGGAATCAATACAGCCCATTACCTTCTCCTCTAATGACACGGCAGCCTCCTGGCCACGTCTCGCGCTGTTTCGCAGCCGATATTGGATGCAAAGAGGTTATGAAATATTGAATCCTGGACATTGCAGCAGACACCAATTACCTCATGGAGGGAGTCCCAGGCGGGGAGACATTGGGCAGCTGCACTTATATCCAGGTGGGGATACATCCCACAGCTGCTCATGACCAACCTTTCCTGGTCAATGGGAGATGATGGAGAAGCTTCTTCCATGACCACCTCCCAGATTCACCATGTGCTCCTCTTCAGGTATATAACCCTAACCTTCACCTTTGCACCTCTTCACTCCTGCCTTCTCTCCACCTGGGCTTCATGCCTTCTCCTCCCTAGCATCCATCTTTGGGTCCTCTTTGATCTCCGCCTCCTTGATGACGTCACTCATCTCTTCTTAATGTATCTTCACCCATATCCATCTCAGCACACATTCATTCAGTGACCTTGACCAGGGAAAGAGAGGCTGTTGTCCTTCGAAATGAGAGAGAAGCTTGAGTTTTAAAAAGTTTCCTGCAAGTTGTGGTCCATATTATTTATGGAACTCAGGGTCAAGTCACCATTGTCAATTGTCTAAAAATACTTGTGGTCAATCCACAAGGAGTCAAACTGTCCTCTTGCAAATACCATTCCAATAATCTCTAATGTACAGAACAGGAAGCGATAACAATGTATCTGCCCCACAACACAGCAGCTTTTAAATACGGTTTCATCAGTTCTCATTTTGTTTGTTGAAAACAGGGAGGGAAAACACCGCAACAGCATACTAGGCATGTTCGGCAATGTGGACGATCATAATTTAACTGCATTCTTTGTCTATACAATGGGAAAATAACGAAACATTGACAGGAAAAGGAGAGCTGCTTGTACAATATGGACCGGTATGTCTGGGACACGATGCCAGTGGCAGGGATGCTATATGTGGATATATATTATTAAGGTTTATCAAATTCAGCAGATTTATGTGCTGTACAGTAAACTCAAAACAGGACACAAAACTTTATGAATTATATGCGTGGACGACAACTTGACATGCGCGGAGCGACATTATGTTCTGCACGTACGACTTCTCATTAAAATAAAATCCGTATGGATTTTGTATTTATGGTTTATGAAACTATAGCCGTTCCTCTTTTGTAACGCAAGATTCGGTAAGCATATCTGCACCGTAGCCTAAAATACAGCGCTGAACTTGAGAAAGAAAGGTAGTCACTGGGGACCAAGGGTGGCTTCAGACATGCACCGATTTCTCCAAAAATAATCCAGACAGGTAGACCACTGGCCCGCTTTAACAATGTGTGGCTCGACGAGAAGATGCTGTGTTTCCTTTGCTAGACGGCCGAGGTTATGCTGCCCATGTTGAGTCTTTGATATGCACAGCGGCGTTAACATCGATGTTGACTATAAAGGTGATTATTTAACTAGTGCTGTTCGCTCGCCGTCTGAGCTTCGCCGTGCTCCACTTTTCGTTTGATTACTCAGTCTTGCTTTAGGTGTTGACATTTCATTTCTGTATTATGTTTCTCGCCCCGACATTCATCATCTGAAGTGTCTGTGCGTAATTGTAATTCATAAGCAGAAAATGCATAATCAATATTCCGGGTGTAGCCTCCGCCGCGCATGTTCCTCTGCTTGGTGATCCACTGCTGTGTCTGATAATGTCCTGGCGTCTCCCACCCCCGGAGTTTGGAGTCCAGACTTATCATTATGAATGAGCCATACGTACATTTTATGTGGTTTATTCATTTAAGGGTGAAAATTCGGCATCAGAAACGGCCGCCCCCGGGACCACTGTCCGTGTTTGTGGGACGCTAAATAAGTGGACTTAAACAAACGCTGACACCAACTGATGGCTCCCTAAAAGAGTCTGACATTACGTTAAAGCTCCTATGGCGTGGGGAGGGCGGGACAGGACGGGAAACAGGCATCCGAAATTCTCAGTTGAGAAGATCCCTACGTGACACTTGTCCCCAGATCTGCTGCGCTCTGCTGTCCCGCCTCCGGGTGGAGAGATTCCTCTCGACAGAGGGGATCAGGGAGCTCGTCGCAACTTTCAGTGGTCTATATCGCGTCATTTGTTCGTGCTCTTTAACGCTAACATTCATACAGAGAGAGAGAGAGAGAGGAGGGAGGGCAAAACCCTAATCCCGAAAATGACAACCTTAACACCTACCCAGCCCTAAGCTTAACCATAAGTAACCAAACAAAATACAAGACTTTTGCCATTTTTAGTTTTTTTTCCCCACAGATTTTTATAAAATTGAGGTTATCCTTGTGGGGACCAAAAATGTCCCCACAAGGTAAAACATCACAGGTTTTTATTATATTTGGTCCTCACGGTTTAATACATACATATTCCCTCCCCCCCAACACAAACACACACACACACACACACACACACACACACTCTCACACCACTCCATTTCACCAAAAATCAGACTGAACTGTGACCAATTTTCCCACCTGTCTCCACCCAGCCTTAGGCGCGCGGCTCACGCCTGATCCCGTCTCGTTTTTTTCCACAGTCCCGCCCTGCAGCCCTCACTTGTGGTGCCCAGAAAGCATGGCAGGGCGTGACAACTTGTCCTTCTTCCGGCTTTGAACCCCCCCCCCCCCATACTAGCAGTGCTCCCTCAAATTCTTTCCAAGCGTGAACACTCCTCCACACAACCTGGATGGATCCCAGACTCGTCCCTCTCCAACAGCTTCATGGTCATGGCCAGCGTTCAGTGAAAGCTACTCCGCTATCTTCTCCAACACCCCGAGAATGTAGCACCGCCTTGGCACGTGCACGTGTAAAACCCAGCGGCGGAGGCAGCTTGCGATGTATCGGTGCTGCGGATAGTAAACGGTATAAGTGATGGGAATTAAATTCTCTGCTGCTTGTGCGCATTTGTCATTTCGTATTAATATGCGTTTTACATCGCATCGTTTCATTCTCTACAGTTCGATAATTTAAAAATTCGCAATGGAGTAATGCGTCTCTTGAATAAATAAACCATCGGGGCCAGGTACAAAAGGATTGAAATTAGCTCAAATACGCCGCCTTGTGGTGGCTGGAGAAAGTTTGTGAAAAGTCTTCGGAGGCGGCATGCGAGACATCGAGACAGACAGACAGAGAGGGAGATGTAGTGAGGGGAGAGGAGAGGGAGCTGGGAAGGAGGGGTGACGGAATGACTGTGATTTCTCTTTTCTTTCCTGGCCTCTTTCTTATTTAATTGGTCCGCGGGGAGCCGGGGCGAGTCTTCTGTAGGCAGTAGCCGTTTGCAGCTGGATAGGTTTAATTGGCTGTCTCCACCATCGGAATCACAGCAGCAAAAATCTGACCAAAAATAATAAAAAAGAAAAACAATTAAAAGCGGGTCCTGGCGCACCCCTGTCGCTCATTCCCTCCTCTTCACTCTCTCTCTCTCCCTCCCTTCCTCTGTCTCTCGGTCACTCCCGGCGCCGATGCGGTGATCACGGGACGCGCTTTAACTTCAGCCGCGATCGGGAGCGCGCACGAGTGGAGCGCTGGCTTTGGCAACCTGAAGCGCGTCTTCGCCAGGCGTCCCCCCCGCCTGCCGCGGGATATAACGCGGCGTCTTTCTCAGTCCGCGCACACACTCACCGGCAGGGCGAGCGGAAAAGGCGCCGGCGCATCGCCACCAAGCGGGGCCACTGCTTTCTCAAAGCTGCACTCTGTTTTAACATCATTTTTGGGTCCTTTTTTCTTTTTCTTTTTTTTTAGTTTTGCCATTTGCTTGGCAAGCGGGGCAACGCAGGCACATTTTACGGATATCGCACGAAATAAAAACCAGTGCAGCGAATAGGAAGGTCTTTTAAACGCATTTTAAACGCAACTGCGCCTACGTGTTTGTCATTGGCGCCGGAGAAGGGAAACAGTAATTAGGATTGCCCCGTGGAGTGGATGCCGCTTCATGGGATTAAGGAGCAGCTTCGGCGCTGTGAAAGTTGCGGTCCTCTTTACGGGCTGCAGCCGCGGTGGATTATTACTGTCATTTTTTATGGCCGATCGCTAAAGACCACTACAATCAAGGCAGGATAAATAAGGGCGGGGAAAAAATACACAAGTTTTCATGCGCCCGCGTTGTGCGGTTTGCGAGGGGGGCTTCTGGAGGGATTAAGCGGCGACACCACGACAGGAGCGGCCAGCGGGGACGGACCGCGACGGCGTGGGGTGACCGAGGGAGGTGTTCGGCTTTACCCCGGGGCAAGGTAAATGGAGCGATTGCCGACATACTTTTACTCAGCAGCTCCGATGGACAAAAATGGGGAAAAGATTAAATCCTTGCTGCATAAGTATAATTTGCCATACAAATAAGTACGCCGATGCGCACGCACAGACACAGGGACTGAGAATTATCCAAGCATTTAGTATTAACCTGTGAAATTAACGAATCGCCGTGTACCAGGATATTAATATAAATCTGTTACAATTCGATTATTCGCACGGAACTGGAACCAACAGCCCTAAATATTTTTTTTCCTTAGAAGTTCTCTGCAGAATCTACGTATTTGCTATAAATGGGGTCGGACCGACGAGTAAAACCACGTTAATCCGGAGTTCATCACCCCGACCTCTGATCAATCTGGTTTCCTTAGCACGCGTTAAATAAGCCTAGAAAAGGTGAAAAGTTCAGCAAATTCGTATGGAGAAGTGGTGACGTTCAGTCAGCCACATAAAGGTCATGGATCGCTGAGAAGAAAGGTTAGATCGCGCCTTTGGTGCCGACGAGGGTAGGTGACAGGCTGTACTCTCGTACTGAGCGCCACTCACATCAATGCACACTTTGCTGATGCTCACCCAAGGAGCGCGCGCACCTGTTTTCACCATTTTACGCACTTAAAAATTTCAGATTTCGCTTACAGGTGTTGCCTGTAGTAATACATTTTGAAAGGATTTTGTGACGTCTCCCTATCGTTTACACTAAGGATAACTGGCGTATGTAGTGATTAAATTAGTTTAGGTCTAATGGGACGTGTTAAACATTTGATTATTATTTTATTACTTATGAATTGAAATGGTAGGAATGGCGCTAATGATCGAATTGTACAAATTTTATCGTTTTGCATATATTAATGGAAGATATCCAAACGTTACGTATTTTATTGTCCTGAAATACTTTACTTAAAATTAAGCGTTTATTAACTCAATGCAGTGGCTGCCACTGATAAATTAATTAATCTTAAGAGTAGTACGACCACCAGACAGGTAACATTTCGATAATCCAGAGTTTCCGTATTGATTGCTGCCTGCCTCCTGGGCTGACACATCGCACGGTTTATTCCCGGACAGGGTCCCCGGCGCACGTGTTTTCCAGGATAGTCCGGCTCGCGGCGCATACGTCCCATACACGAGCGAACCCGCGCGCCCCGAGCAGAACCCCCAAAACGTCCCCTGGAAGTAAACGAGGACTGAGCGCTGCTTTCGTCTTGGCTATTTTTGCAGGTTATGACGGATTTGAGCTGAAGATGGAGATTTTCTGGATATTATTATTTTCTGTCATTCATCCCTACGTACGAGGGCAAGGAGTCTACGGTAAGGAATTTTGAAGTATTGGAAAATTGTTATTTCATACGGCTTATTTTGTTTGGGTTTCTGCATCACATGCCACCTGGTGTCTTTTAAGGTAGTGCATGTGATTTAGCAGTTAGAAGAATAAGTCGCATGGTGTTTTACTACCTAAAACGCAGAATTGTGTTGTTTTTAAAAGGTCATGCGTGTCATTGCTGGAGTTATCGTTGGCTGAACGGCACCTCTATTTAGGGAAAAGGTGTATTTTGTCCACTTCGATACTCAGATTTACAAAATCATAGTTAATTAAAACAACACCGCTGGAACAACTACAACTACTGCTACTTCTTATTGTTTGTATAATAATAATTGCGATATTTTGATAACCGGATTCTGTGAAACACTTTTTGCTACATAAACTTAAATATCTGCCACTTTTCCACGAATTTGTACCTACAGAAATGTCGTAAAGCACACGCTTTAGGTTACTTTAATTAGCTATATGCTGACGAGGGTGAGTAAACCTTTAGAGCGTCTAAATAATTGTTGCGTAATTTCGGTTTTATTAGATTATTCTGCTGTTAACCTCTCGGTTTGATTGGACCGAGAAATCAAACAAAGGAACAAATTGCCGTAGCTAATTTTCTAAGCGGGTATATTGAATTAAACGAGACTAGAGAATCGTGCATTTATGCTTAAAGCATTTACCAGAGACTTTTAGCCTCCCCCATAGGCGCAAGCAGCTGAATGCAGCGGTACGCAAAGGCACAGTTCATGCCTTCTTATCTGTGATGGTAATTTATCTCTGGGACACTCTGGGACAATGTCTCGGATAGACATTCCCTACAATAAACGAGTCATTTTCAAGTGCGAAAAATATAAATTCACTGTTAAATGCAGGGAGCTAAAATCATCTTTATACATCAGCTTTGATTTTCTGTTGTGGATGGGCTTCTCTTCCCAGATCATCGTTTTTAAACAGGTAATGATTGAACATCTGTGAAACGGCAATGTGAAACACTTACGGTGATAAAAGTCTCCATAGAGCCATTTCATTAAGTGCTCTAAACGACCAGGGCGACGCAGTGATAGCGGTGTTTCTGTACGGGAGCCAGGTGTAATATCGTCTAAAATATATAAAAACAGCACTCCCTCCCCTCCTTTGTCATAATCTGCCAGGGAAATGTGCGTCCTAAATGTGTCCAGACGAGTGACCTTTTCAACACTTCCGCTTTAGTCTTTACGAAAATCCTCTTGGTCCAGGCCACAGTCAGGCTACACCCCGCAACGGAGGCACCAGCCTGTGGCGTGTGTCGTGCAATTTGCCTACATAATTTGCTACTTAAGTTTAATTTGGCTGACGCATAATCAGCGCAGAACCCCCCCCCCCCGGCGGATTAGTTAGAGTCTGTCTTGGTGAGGCGATGCCGGTGTGGGTTTTACCTTGTCCCCTGCCCCCCACTCTGCTGTAAGTCACCTGACGCCAAAGCAAGAAAATAAAAAATGCATCTTGTTATGCGGTGGAAAGATCAAGCGTTAGAAATCCGTGCTTGAAGGTGGCATTAATGTCGCCTGGATCTATGAATCGTCCTCAGCTGTCATCGCTATCGCTTTATCCAGATGCATATGACCTCCATCCCACGGCTCGCAGCTTTACACGTTAACCGTCTGTTCAGACGCATTTATGTAAAAGTGTCTCACTCGAGAGTGCTTCTGGCTTCGCGTCCGCGCAGATGCGGTTAAAAGTCCACTTCATGATCCATTAGAGTCCCCCTATCGTGCCAGTCAGGAATGAGACAGGGAATCGAGCGGGCCCGATGCTGGTGCGGTCGTGGCGGGGCCAGATGTGCGCAGAGTGCGGTCTGCTGGGGGTCCGCCGCCCTGCTACGCCGGTGTACCGCCAGAGAGCCTCTTACTGCCGGGCAGGTTCATCGCGGACAGCTGGCAGCCAGAAAGCACGGTTATACCCCCGGGACCCCCGGAAATCATTAACGAGCGAACAGATGTAACCTGCAGGCGATGGGATCCATGGGGGGCGTCTGATCCCCCCAAAGCAGAACCCGGGGACGGTACACGCTTCTCTCCTCCACTGGTTTGGGATGATGGTATATGTGGTCCTGTCCGGCGTGGTCCTGGAGCCTTCTATAAGTGAGAACTGATGAGCAAGGTTGGACAAGATCCTGGGTAGCGCTATTATATTATTGTAAGGGAAAACAGGACCGCAATGAAGCTGTCACTGTACTAGAGAAGGGGAAACGCGCTCGTCATTGTTAACTTTCATAAGGCAGTAAAACGTGTATCTATATTAGTGTGGGATGTGGGATCTCCCTTAGTGCGGCCAGCCCGGACCCCGGTGGCGTTTACTGTGTAAGTCAGCATTTTTGTTTGTTTTCTTTCCGTGTATAGTGTCTGAGTTTATTTCCAATGCTGCATATTGCCCTTTTTTAATAGCATTCATAATTCATCGCCAGCTGTGGGGGTGCGGGGGCGGGGGTGTCAGTAATGGAAATCTCCCGGTGCCCTTTCTCCTAAACACACACACACACGTCGCATCTGCACACCGGCGCTGGTTTAACTGCGTCTGCAGCCGGCAGGAGCGCGTCCCCCGCTGTGACGCCGGGCGCCGCTAACCGGAGAGCCGGTGCTCACCGGCATAACGGCGGATGTAGTTTCTCCTCCCCCCCCCCCTTTTTTTCCTAAGCAGGCTGTCGTTATCCTTGCCGTCACCCATTATCGCCTGCGGTTTCGCTCTCCAGGAGTCTCCGGTACTCCTTGGCACAGTCTGCTCAGTGGGGGAAACAGCTACCTTCACAAAGTTAGGACCCCTCCTACTGGAAAGACCAACAGTCTCAAGGATTGTATCTTGCGCATCGGGCTGTTGCCAGTGTTTTAATAATTACTTTAGGAAATGATTTGTCCTTATTTTAAATTATAGTCGGTTAGAGCTGAATAAAGCAGAGCGCAGAGCAGGGCGCGCGGGCGTGAGCCCCCGTCTGTACCCGCCAGCTACCGGACGCCCACAAACGAGGGCGCTTTTTAGTTATACTTTAACATTCCCCAGGAAATGGAGCTGTATGTCAAGCTTTTATTTATCGTAAAATGAGTGCTATCGGCACTCTGCCCCACTCTCCCCTCCGGTGGCTGAAACGGGAATGATTTGAGGCCAAAACAAGCGGCATCCTTTGCAGTTTCCAAATGGCTCATTCAGGTGTGATTAGGGCCCGTCATCTCCGAGGGCCGCGGCGCTGCTTGCAGGCGGGCGCTCGGCCCGGCGCTTTATTGCGCTGGAGTCCCGAGCCGCTGCACTGGATGAACTGTGAAAATACTGCGGATGAAAGGTTATATTCCCTGTCCTGCGCTTGGCAGTTAAATGTTATTTCACCAGTGATATCTTTTTAGTGCCTCTCCCTTGTTGTCAGTACTTTAATGGTGACTCGGTCGCCATCCAGGACTCGCTGCTGCGGATATTTTCCAGAATGTTCAGGCAATCTCCCCGGAATGATTCCCCTGCCCCAGCACTCTGTCGCCCCCTGTTGTTCGTTCTCCCCCCCCCCCCAAGTCAGGTTTATTTAACCTTCCCTCCTGGGGCTGTCTAACAGTATACGGAAAGCCCATTAACCCATGGGTCAGAGTGAACGGTTTTTGGCTGACCGGCATTTATTTCGGCGAGCACCTGGCCCCAGGCCATGCGACGCAGCAGAATTCGGTGATCGCATGCTGTCCCAAGTCCCGGAGCTCTCAGCTGGGGCGTCTGAGTTTATGCATGGGGGGGGGGGGGGTGAAACCTGATGGTCGGGACGTCGACATTGCGTGGCGCAATCTAGGTATCCCTCGATGCAATTGTCCAGCAGCTGGGTGGAGGATAGAATGAAGCAGGTCTCCAAGGTGACCTCGTTACCTGGTTGATGCAGACCTCGTGTTCGGATCAGCAGCTGGATCAGTTAGGCCTGGTATATTGGTCTCTGGCCTGGGGTGCAGGATCTTAACTCAGAAACTTCCGGCACAAACCACCACTGGCCCGAAAACTTTCCTTGTTGATTTGGCCTCTTTTCACCACGTAGCTGCAGACAGACCTGTATCCCCCTACGAGCTGTGATCTGTGGGGTTCTGGGAAGCGGACTCTGGCTGCGACTGACCGGCTATGTGACTCGGCCATGTGACGTGGGTGACAGGCAAGGGGGGCGGTCCCTTCCAGCTCACAGGACAGGTCACGCTGGGCTCGCCCCTGTGGCTTGGAGACCCGGCTGTGCTTAACGGGCTGAGATTCACGGTTAAATCAGGAGTGCTGGCTTTTCTGCCCAAGTGAAAATGGAGAAATGAGTGTGGTGGAGTAGATGAACCCTGTGGGGTGACAGTGGTGCTGTGTGTCTGTGTGTGTTTCTGTGTGTGTCTGTGTGTCTGTGTGTGTTTCTGTGTGTGTCTGTGTGTGTGTGTCTGTGTGTGTTTCTGTGTGTGTGTGTGTGTGTGTGTGTGTGTGTGTGTGTGCGCGCGCGCAATAATCTTAAGATACTGTTATATTACAGCTACTGCTGTCACCAGTTTCGATGGGCAAAGCTCGTATGTGGATGTGAGCTGACGTCCCGTCCATGGGCGATGGGTGACTCAGCCGTGCCTCCTGTGACTCAGCCGTGCCTCCTGTGACTCAGGAGAGCAGAGACAGGAGGGGGGCCGCTGTTACTCGGCCTTTTTGTTGATGTCGCGGCGCTCGGCGTGCAGGCTTGTCCTCGCTCACCCCCCAGCCGCCTCTCTGTTCCGGTCTCTGGTCTTCCCTCTGTCATCCATGCTGCTCTCATCTCTCTCTCTCATTCCTTCCCTTCTCCTTTTTTCCCTCTTTCTCCTGCCGAAACGCCTGCAGCAGCTCGGCAGTGTAAACACAACCTGTTTCTGAAGGTAGTTGAATAATTAATGCTCCCCGTCAACCCCCCCGCCCCCCACCCCTCATGAAACCGGGATGCTGTGTGTGGTGGGGGGGGGGGCATCTGAGGGTTTGGGACTCCTGGCGGTGACACACGTTCTCTTGAGAT